TCTTTTGAGTTCTTAAACTAGGGAAACTATATGATATTTACACATATGTGTCTGGTTTATTTCACTTATGAGTATATGTTCAAGTGGCATCCACTTCAATATAAAGGCTTCGAGTTTATCATTCTTAATAGCTGAATAATACTCCATTGTGTAAAAATACCACATCTTTTTCAACCATTCCTCAGGTGATGGGCATCTTGGTCCAGGTGAGTCTTGATAAATACCTTGGCACTGGGGTTCTACAAATGTGCACTGTCACATTCCTGGGTTTGTCACAAGAAGGTCAGCATCATTGCCCAACTCAGCCTAGTGCTAGAAAATAATGCCACTCTGGCTTCACTGGCACATATTGAGTAGCCATGCAATTCCATGGCACCAGGCTTCACACTGGCATTTGCTGTTATCCTGTCCAATCCTGCCCAGTCCTGGAAAAGCTGCTACCTGCTACTAGAGAAGGCCCACTATGCTGACCAGTCCTACGGTGGTAGCCAGATGGCTTGGGGCTTGAGGCAAGAGATGTCCCCTCTTCCTGATCCCCTGGTAACCAGGGTAGTAGAGGAAGGAGAAAGTGGTGCTCTATAGTGGTAGGTGCAGGTGTCATTAAAATCTCTGTGTTTGGGGGCTGGGAAGATAGCTCAGTAGAATAAGCGCTTGCCTGGCAAGCACAAGGGCCTGAGTTCAATCCCCAGTTCCACCAAAAAAAAAAAAATCTCTGTTTGAGCTGGGGCTGAAGCTTCATAGTAGGAAGAGTACTTAGCCTGCACAGTTCATAGAAACCAAAAACATGTTTCTTTTATCCTTTTTGGGTGAGAAAAACTGCTCAGAGAGGTTGTGATATTGTCCTAAGGCAACACACCTAGAAGAGGTTTGAACCCAGGCCTGTCTTGCTGCAAAACACATGCCACTCCCGCTCCCACCAACAGCCTGGCTGTGCTTGACCCACAGACTCTTCTCCTCCAGAATGGACCTAACTGGGGGAACTGAGTACTTCCTGGAAGGTCTGTCACCCAGGGAATGAGGGGAGCTGAGGTTACCCTCACTCCAACCCCATTGCCTCTGCTTCCCCAGGGTTCTTCTGCATTGCTGTAAAACATGGAACAGGAGCCTGAGGTGGTCCTGAGGGTGGAGGACAGTGGCTGGGCTCAGGCCGGTATGGGATGGAGAGGTGGGGGACACTCCTGTCTCTTGAATATCTAAAGGAGAACCCACAGACGTAAAGTAACCTACTCAAGGCTGCACTACAGAACAGGCAAAGCTGAGATTCAAACCTGAGGCTCTAATTAATACTCTGGGGAGTGGTGTCCAGGGTCCCACGGGTGGAACATCCTCGGCATCCCTGGGAGCAGGCAGTGCTCCATGACAGAAGGTGAGATCCCCATCCATGGGGGTGTGCAAACCCAAGCTGAGCTGTCACGTCGAGCGGCCACGCGGGCCCAGCACGCAGCCGCAACTCCCAGGCCAGCCGCCCGCCCCGTGGTCCGGCTCCCGGCTCCCGGACTCCCGGGCGGGGCGCTGCTATTTCTGTCGCCGCGGCGGGAAGCAGGGGCGCCGGCGCCATTTCGCTCCCAGCCGCGTAGCACCATGAGCACCTCGGCCTTCCACGTGGCGGGGCTGCTGGAAAAGATGACATCCAGCGACAAGGACTTCAGGTGCGCGCTGGCCTGGCCAGACCCCGGCCCCTCGTCCTAACCTGATCTAACCCGTCCATCCTCCTGGCCCCGGCCCCGCCCCCGCCCCCGCCCCTGCCGCCACTCTTTTGCCAGGTCCTGACCCTAACCCTCACATTGACTCTGACCCGATCCCTGTCCCTCACCCAAGCGCTGAGCAGGAGTGACCCAGCAGCCCTACCCCAACTCCTCTGTCCCCGGCTCAGCACCCCAGAACCTCAGGGGCAGAGTACAAGAGAAAGTTGGAAGCCTCTGGTCCAGCCCCTTCTCTCAGGGGAAACTGAGGCCCAAGGTAGAAGGGATGGACCTTAGCCACAGGCCAGTACTGGACCCTGGAGCTGGCAGAGGCTCTAGATACACCTTGGCTACAGTCCCGTAGCTATCACTTTGTCCCTGTTTTACAGAAAGGGCTACTGAGGCTCAGAAGCAGGAAGGGCCCAGGTCCCACAGAGGAGCTCAACATGGGAGACTAGGGTTAGGGCCTGGCAGGCTGGTGTAGAACCCTTGTCCCACACCAGCAGGTCGGGGAGCCTGAAACCCCAGTCTTCACTGAACAAGATCCTGGCTTCAGAGGGCCCCCACCACGCCTAGGTATAAGACCACACACGTCACTCCACCCCCCAGTCCTGGTAACTGCCAATCCAAGGGCTGGAGGAGGGGCAGGAGAGGGCTCTTATGCAGTGCTGGGGGAGGGCTGTGCCAGGTAAGGCTGAGCTTCCTGCACCCTGAGATTCCCTGGCCCCACCTCTCACTCCTTTGGGCACCACTGACGACAGAGCTCCCACACACACATCATATTTTTGCCCTGTCACTTTTCTGCCAGGGTATTAGAAAGGAACTGCAGCTCTGCTGGACCATAGGGACTTCAGGGGACACACAAGTGCTCAGGGGATGTCGGCCAAGTCCAGGTGCCCTGCCCCACCCTAGGCAATGGATTCCACCTGCTTCTGCCCAGTGCCCAAGAAGCCCTTGCTTGTCCCTGACAGTGGCCTGAGTACACTTAACACCACCATGAGCAACAGGAATGGTGGCTATTTTTAGTGTCCTAGCACCAGCTGTCCCAGTGCCCATGTGGCTCCCAGCTGAGTGGCCTCTAGGGTTTCTCTGGAACAAAACTGACACTGGCTTGAGGCTCTTGGAGATGACAGGAACAGAAGGGGGCCCTTGGTGGAGGGGGAAGATAGAACCTGTCCTGGGTTGGACATACCAAATCCATAAACACAGAATCCTGCCAGTACCCAGATCATTTCTGAAAGCACAGGCCTATGAGTAGAGGAGCCAGTAGGCCTATCTGGGGGGCTGGTGCTCCACCCTCTGTGTTGTGTGACCTTGCACAGATCCTGAAAATTCTCTGAGTATAATAGTCCCATCCACCCCGCTAATATTTCCAAGGGTGCTACAAGGTAGAGACAAAGAAAATTCACATTTTATCACCGCAAAAGCAGCCCCAAGAGGAGGAGGCAAGTGCCCAGTCACGCTATTGATAAGTGGCATGGCTAAAGTATTTATATAAAGCTTCATTTAACAGGCTAAAGCACTTATCCCCCAACTTCTACAAAGCAGTTTATGTGCACTCTGAGCTGCTTTCTACAGGAATACAGAGCTGGAGATGCAGAGGTACATTAGAAGGGCTGAGATTTATTTATTTATTTATTTATTTTTAATTAATTAATTAATTTATTTATTTATTTATTTTTGCGGAACTGGGGAATGAACTCAGGCCCTTGTGCTTGCCAAGGAAGTGCTTATTCCACTGAGCCACCTCCCTGGCCCCAGAAGGGCTGAGTTTTGAGTTCAAGTTTCCCTACAACTGTTCGACTCCAAGCACAGCCAAGGGCTGCCTCCCTCCAGCCCTCTCCAAGCTAACCCTGACCCAAACCCTAGCCCTAATGCAGACCCTAGACCTCTTTCCATCCCTCTCCCAGCTAACCCTAACCCTAATGGTAAACCTAACCCTCACACTAGCCCTAGCCCTCACCCTCATCCTCACCCTGTTCCAAGCCCTCGCCCTCTGTGGACCTATTCCTTGCTGAGCCCAGGTCCCAGTGCTGAACTGATGGCCAGCACCAGTGAGGTCAGAGTCCAGAGGGAATGGCTTTCCTTACTAGGGGTATATTCAGAAGGATCCTCTTTGGGAAACAGTTATGCTTAGGGGTGTGTGTGTGTGTGTGTGTGTGTGTGTGTGTGTGTGTGTGTATGTGTGTGTGTGTTGGGGGATAGCACAGAGCAGTCAGTCATTCCTCACTGGGACACTGGAGTTAGGCTCCTAATAGATGAATAGGAGCACCATGGGTAAAGAAGAAAGCAAGGCAGAAGGCCCACTGAGCCCTTAGGGTACTCCCTCAGTGGTCAGGTAGAGCTGGGCCAAGTGGGCAGAAGTACAGCTAGGGAGCCAGTCTGCCTTCCCCAAATGTCCCCTCCCCAGAGCCGACCCAGGAACACATGTGGCTACCTCAGGCCATGGCTCACATCCCCTTGCTCCCAGTGTCCTTCTCCTCTCAGTGACGAAGGCCAGGGACCTCAGAGGCACAGGGGCCCTCATGGTATGGGGCACTATAGGCCACCCAGCATGAGGGTCCAAACCCAGGAGGCAGGGCATCTCCTCACTCTGTCTCTACACAAGGTCCTATGGGAGTCAGGAAACAGCTGAGCAGCTCTGCAGGGACAGGGCGTTGGGGGCAGTTCAGCCTCTGCTTGGGCTCTTCACCTGGCAGGTATGGTATCCCAGGTCCACCCCACTGCCCCAGCTCTGTGGCCAGCCACAGATTCATTAAGTGTCAAACCACACAGTGCCTAACCCTAGTGCCTGCCCCACCTACTCTGTGTCCAGGGTCCATTGTTGGGTCCCAGGGAAGTGATTTCCAAAGCTAGGTCCTCCATCCTGAGTGCCTCCCAGGGACTTGTTAGACTGTGCCAGGGACCCCAGGCTGCAACACAGGCCACCATAGAGACACAGCTCTGCCCACTTGCCCCTGCTGCTGTGCTGTCCCTCAGTACTCGTCATGTCTCTCATGGCCCCACAGGGGTCCTATGCTCACCCCACTCTCAGACAGAGACCCAGGCTGAGCCAGAGGCAACCACTTGGGCATGGAGCCAGCTTGTCATGCTTGCCGGCTGCCTTCTGTGGGTGTCCACGTGGCTGCAGCCCTGTGGAACTCCTTGGTCCCCAGGTTCATGGCCACCAGTGACCTGATGGCAGAGCTGCAGAAAGATTCCATCCAGCTGGATGAGGACAGTGAGCGCAAGGTCGTGAAGATGCTACTTCGGCTCCTGGACGACAAGAATGGGGAGGTTCAGAACCTGGCTGTGCGGTGGTAAGCGTTACTGCAGGCAGGAGGGCAGTCCGGAGGGCTGCTGGGATGGGGCACTCAGGAGTCCTACCTTCAGGGACAGCCAGAGAGAGAGGACCTGCTGGCAGCTCCAGGGCACTAGTGGTCTAGACAGTGGCTTTCTCCAAAAGTAGACAGGACTCAGGTCCCAGTTGATTTAGGAAGTGGTAATCCCAGGAAATAGAAGAGGGGAGAGAAGAGAGCCAGGCAAGGCCTTGTGGAAAACTGTTTTTTTCTAGTTTAAGCTGGGCTTGAACTCACTATATAACCTAGGCTGGCCTCGAAATCACAGCAACCCTCCTGCCTCAGCCTCTGGAGGGCTAGGAAGACAGGTGTGTGCTATCAAGTCCAGCTGGAGGAATTGTTTTTAAATCCCCTGGGAAGGAACTGAAGACATAGCTCAGTGGCACAGTGCTCACTTGGCAAGTGTAGGGGTGTGAGTTTGATTCCCGGTACCAAAAGAGAAAGAAAGAAAGAAAGAAAGAAAGAAAGAAAGAAAGAAAGAAAGAAAGAAAGAAAGAAAGAAAGATCAAATCCCCTGAGAACCTCTGGGACAACACCAGCGTCCATGGGAACTGGCCAGAACTACACATCCTCAGCTCCCAGGAGGTATGAGGACTGCAAGGCAGAGCAAATGGGGCCATGAGATACCATGCTGGGTACGGGATGAAGCTTGGGCAGAGCACAGAGTCCCTGGTCAGGGAGGGCCTTTCCTCTAACCATGTGACAATGGAGCATGGGGTCCAGGCCCAACTGACTGAGGTGCCCCCCTCCTGCCCAGCCTGGGTCCACTGGTGGGCAAGGTGAAGGAGTGCCAAGTGGAGACCATCGTGGATGCCCTCTGTGCCAACATGCGGTCGGACAAGGAGCAGCTCCGGGACATTGCTGGCATCGGCCTCAAGACTGTGCTCTCGGAGCTGCCCCCCACAGCCACAGGTACCCAGGCCCCACCACTGGGCATAATGCTCTTTGTCCCAGCTCATGGTTAAAAAACTGAGGCTCAGGGCAGTGACAGTGCTGACCTAACGCTCCTCAACTAGGAGGTGGCGTCAACTCAGATCAATTTAAATCCATGGCCTTGTGTCTGCTAGGAATGCTTTTAGCTGCTCAGAGTGGTTTCAAGCAGCAACATGAGAAGGGCAGGGTGGCGCACATCTGTAATGCCAGCACTCAGGAGGCTGAAGTAGGAGGACCACCGTGAGACTGAGACCACCCCAGACTACAATAGCAAGTCAATGGCAGGGGGAAAAATAATAATAATAAGTAATATAGAGAGCCCTTTCTGATCTTTGTCTCAGGCCAGGAAGTTTATATTTATAATCCCATGGATAAATTATTGGAATCTCATCAAGTTAATTTCAATCTACCACATCCAGTGCAACCAATGGCAAGAATAAAGACACTAAGGCATATACGTAGATATGGGAAGCCAAGGGGTCCTTAGTTCAGCCATGATGATTCTACCCACTTACTTTGAATGATACTTTAATAACAACCTGTTAGCCATATTTGGCTTTTCTTAAACTGTATTTGGCAATACTGCACCTAAAATTAGCTCCCTATTTAGTGTACAGTTAGTTG